ACACAGGTGAATTTCGGTTTCTAGACCCTATCCTTTCAGTCTAGAGAATAATTAAAATGAGAAGGTTTCATTTACGTTCGTTTTTCTTTCGATACTGTTTCACATATTTCTGTCATATGCATCCTTTTTTTCTATATGAATCACCGAAAGCATATTAATTTGCATAAATGTTTTATTGTAGGAGACTGTTTCATTTGCGATAGTATACACATAACTCGAGGAGAAATACAAAAATCAAGGGAAACAATACAGTCAAATAGTAAACATCATTTAACTAATAAATCGGTTGTGTTAGAAATACATACAAGCATACATAAAGGTTATTTTTTAAAAAGACTATCGATATATTTGTTTTTATTTACTTCATTGTGGTAAGTAACATATTTGAATAGTATTAAAAATAAGTTAAAAAAAACTCATAAAATATTCATCGTAGCAAAAATATGGTACACATATTAGACATAATTCAGACAGCTATGAAATCAAGTGATTTTTTCAAAAATTACTTGATCATTTTCTTCATCTACTTTTCTGCCTCTTTCTTATATTTATTTATTAAAAGTCTCAATTGATTGATAATATTCATACAGACAAGGTTATTATCTTTCCCCATGTTTTTAACTCCTAAACACATTCATATAGAATCCGCTTGTATGATCTGGAAACCGTTCGGGAAATCATTTATTTCCTTGGATGGCAAAAGTTATTTATAGTTTTCTCCAAGGACTATCGACTATTTGTTTATAGTTACTTGGAAAAATGCTTTCAAGTTTCTGTCATTCTTTTCTATACGCGAATATAGAAACACACTTTTCAGATAAAAATATTTGATTACTTTCCTTGGTCGTTTGTTATTGCGACCATTCTAATAGCTAGAACCTAGTAGCATGAAAGTACATGCACACTGAGAAATAAAACACGAGAGAAAATGCTTTAGTAAAAAATAACAATATTGCAGATCACCACAGAAGGAAGTAAAATGATGGTTCTGATTCGACTGGACATAGTACACAAAATAGATTAAAATTATAGTATTTATATTTAGTTAGATTATCGATAGCCTATAATCCGTTTTTCAATATTTCTAAGGTGCATATATTTATACTGTCGTAGTCAAATATGAAGTACGAAAAACCATGACAGACATACCATGCTATATTTAATGACATTTTTTAAAATTAACTTTCATTTTGATAGGTCCGTATGAGATATTGTTTGATTGATGTGTAAATTCTTTTTCTGTAAACGATAGAAACAAAACTTTCTTGGAAGTCATAAATCATGGAAAATGTATTTATTGTATTAAGGCTTTTACTCAGCGACGGATCTAGGATATTTTTGATAAGGAGCCACTTAATGGAAATGTGGCGATTTTAATCAGAAAACGAGTTTTGAAATTTATTAGAGGCAGTATAAACTCAATTTTCAGCCCTTCCGACTGAGAAAAACCAACCGATGTCGCTTAAACCGCTCGAAAGCCAACGGTTGACCATGGTTCGTCAGCTGAATTACTATTCGAATCACAGAGGATGAAAATTTTTTAACTCTTACAAATCTGTCAGAATTGTACGAGGATCGGCGTATCTTATAAATGCAAAAGCGTTGAAGCCACTGGTACTAACCACATCTGCTGTATTTGCTTGGTTTTTAAGTTCAAATTTTTATTAAAGATGGCACCGTAAAAATAGTTATTCGAGAGATAACCTAGCCAATAGAAAAATCAGTGGCGCCATCTAATTAAATTTATTATCAGATAATTATTTAGACTTCTTTGATTTGCAATCGAAGTTTTCAAGACGAAAAATGTCAGTTTTGAGGCCAATATATAAAAAATCAATAGATGAAGAGAAATCGTCATGGGCCGGCGTTTTTTTTCCTGTACCATCGGTAACCGTCGGTTTTGATAAAAAATTAATGATACGCGGGAACGACTGTTTTAGATTATGGGCGATCATCTCAAGCGCCTCCGCTCCTCTAAATCCGATACTGCTTTTGCTGAGTCCATCTAACTCATGAAATGCTTCGTAAAATTCTTCGGATATTTTATTTCTATGAAAAGGCGAAGGACTTTATTGATTTAGTTGAAAAATAGTTGAAATATATTCAATAACTTTCCGAATACTGCTGGCATTGTTAATATTTCCAAAAATTGTAATGCATTGATACGTCTTATGTTTTTCTCTGTTATCAATTTATTTATTCTACAAGGATCGAAGTACATAAAAAGGAGTCCGATCGAGAAAAATAAAATGAAGAAACATAATTTTCGTATATTTGAGTCTTTCTAGAAAAGAAAATCTAGTTGAAATATAGTTCGTAAAAGAGAACCTTTCTTTAAAAAAAATCTAGTAATCTTTATTCAATTTCATTCAGTTATAAAGGTAGATCCAATATGTTCATTTCAAGAAAGATTCGACTTCGTCGACATGACGGACCTTGAATAATTCGTATTTTATTGTCAAGCTTACGTGAGACTCACATGCATTCAAAATAATCACAAGATCCGAAAGGATAAGTATCGATAAGACCTTTTTTCCAACATATTTTTCAAAAAGAGTTACATATTCTGAATCAATGTCAAAAACTGAGATGAATAGTATGGTTTTTATTTTGAAGAAACAAATCTCATTATTCACGGTCTACTGAGCACCTGTGAAGACCCTAAAGACTCGAAATTTTGTTTTCTCAAATTTTAATGAATCTAGCAACATTAGACGCGGAATTGGATGAGAATTCTCAATTTGAGTTCGAAATTTACAAATAACGAACTTCAAATAGAGAAACATTTGATTAAATTATAGAATACCAATAGAGCCCTATTTTCAGGTACTGATCCGAAGTACCGGACTATTGTGATTAGCAAAATTGAAAAGCATTTAATGATGTGTAAAATGACTTTACCCATCCGAGAAACAGTTAAAAAAGCTTGTTAGCGCAGCCCCTTTGGAGCTGAAATGTGGAACTCACATATACACTCTAGTCTCATTAAACTAATGCAAAATACATAAAGTGATAAATCTCCCGTAGACTACAGCTGTTTTTGCAGGATGATCGATGTCTAGAATAATGATCTCTCTAATGTCTGCATTTCGAACAGAATTTTTTTTACTTTTCTCTACGAGCGTCCTATGTTTTGTTTGCATTGTTGCTATTCGCTCATCATTTTTCATCTGTTTAAATTCGTTTTTCTTAATTTAACATTCTTATTATTATAATTATTGAACTAATTGACAAATAAGTCTGTTTTACATATTTATTATATCTACAGCAGATCTTACGTACTATCATATATATTAATCAACTCACAAATCATGACATTCATTATTTTTCAAAATTATAATTTGACCAATTTTTCAAAAAAAAAACACTCGAAAATGTGACGCCTTTTATTATTGATTGCTAAGGTCTGTAATGAGGGAAGCGGGAGCCCGAAAACTTGAACTTAAAACTTACACTCACTATTTTCTTCGAAAATATATGTGACTTCCACAAAATTGTTCTACTCGACACAGCCATCCTGATATCTATCTAACTGGTGATATGTTTTGACTTCTAATGTTAACAGAGGGCTTTTCTTTACTTATTGTTGTCTAAGTTGAAAATCTTAATGTATCTAATGATTGTTCAAATGATGCTAGTTCGTTTAGCGGAGTACCTAGTATAAGAAGGAGATATCGAGGATAGCGGAAATCCTTTGGGGATCCAGAGTATACCGGAATAGGGGGATCCGCTTTTTTCCCCTTGCTTTATGTACATAATTCACAAAACTGTCAGCTCATATGGTCAATTAATATCATTGCGTAGGTAGATTATTGTATCCATATGCTGATGTTAACAATTAATTGACTTTTTATTTTCGTTTCGGAACAAATCTAATAACAAGATATCATGAGCAGAATTCGTACCTCGTTGTTACACTTGAAGCGTAATATCTAATATCTTACAATTGAATATTATTGTATTGATTCAATAATTTGCCTAAGTGTTAAACGATTTGTTGATACTATATGCAAGAATAATAAATTATGAAATCAGTTGAGAACTAATGAAATTCATTCGATACCATTGTTATGTATATTTCATTGTAAAAATTCAAATTTTTATCGAATAAACATATTCAAGGAGAAGCAATAACCTAACACAAGTAAATAAATAAGATTTTCGAATTCACATTTAACTTGAAGACGTTAAGCTGAACGTAGAATTCGCAAATTTGAATCCGCTTAGAAGTCAAATATGAATTAAAATAAGTGTTATTTAGCTTGCTAGACCTATTCATATGCATCAGTTAAGTAATAACTGTCGTCATATAGTTCTGATATTAATTAGTTTATTTTTATTTTTATTTCTGTTCGTTTCACAACTGTAATTATTTTCATGCTTCGATAAATAAGCTTTAAACAATATTTGTAGTGTTACACCTAAGTGTTATTTCTGTGCTAAATCACATTTCATTGATTCATGGAATTCACACATAAACAAGAATATTGAATGAATCATGTTAACATGTATCAGACGTAGCAAGGTATGCATCAATGATTCTTTGATAGGATACAATCAATGGTTACAATATTGGCAATAAAAAAAACAAATTTTTACTGTTTCATTCTGTCTTTGAAGGACAATCGTTCGATTCACAGGTAATAAAATTATTTACCTTTAATGGGCATAAAAAACAGATTATCATGCTAAAATAATACAGAAAAAAATATTATAAAATAAAATGTAATTGGATAAAATATTTATATTTGTTAAAATCAACAAGAAAAAGAGATAAAAATATGAAGAATTTAGAACATTATCTCAATTTCTTGAATACACATGTTTGTTGTTATTCTTTTTGAATCTATTCAAAAACAACTATATCACTAAAAATAATAAGTAGACATAATCAACTTTATGTGTACTAGAACGAAAAGCAAAATGAATGATTTGAATTTCTTTATTTAATAGTTTTATATTGGAACATTTTATAAATGTTTGCTTTATAAGATAGAATATTATTCTAAAAATGAAAAAAATAAAAACACCGAGCAAACCATTAAAATAAAACTATCACTGGTATAGAATAAGTTCGATGAACGAGATGTTTGAACGTTATAATAAATGACATCACTTAGAGAACGACCAAATATTGTATAATTAACGATTATGTTAACTGTATAATTTGTATTCGATTGTAAACCAGAAAATTGATAAGGTTGATTTATATATGTATTATTTTCTGTTAAAGATAATGATGTTCCTGTAACACCATTATTAATCAATTGTACAGTTGTTCCATTTCGTAAATATGGTACGTTCTTGAGCCAATTAACATTTATAATAAACGAATTTGATGAACTAACCATATGTGAAATAACTACAAAAGGTACCTCGGAACATATCGATGAATTAAATCGTGAACATGTTCTTTTCAGTTGACAAGTTTTTTTAACAAGAGACACAGTTACATTTATGTTCGTAGAATTTGATGAAAGACATACATAATAAAAAGCATTGACTAAATCAAAATTTTTTGTTAGACTTGTTATAGTTTTATTTGTTGATGTAAATGTATAATTAATTGAAGTATTTATTGGACCATAGTTAAAATAAAATTCATAAAATTCAATAACAATTTTTATAGTATCAGATTGATCATATGTCGAATTTGCAAATTCCCATGTGACAGTTAAAGCTGTTGAATTAACGGCCGTAACTGCTATTAATTTTGGTTCTGTCAAAGGTATATTAACTTGACTATGACATAATAGCATGTATGAAAAAAGTAAAAGAAAAATGTAAAAGAAATTCCAACAGTTATCCATTAGTTTTTCTTTATACACTATACAATCAATGAAAAGAGCGGTATATATATATATATATGACATAAAATACTATACATACGTATTTTTTCTCGTCAACTCATTTCAAGGTTTACTATAGTGGAAGAAGGACATGACGAGACGAAACAGTTGTTATCAAAAGATACGTGTTTTTTCTTTTTTGTTTAATTAACAGTCAAAGTCACCAGTATATATATATATATATCAATTAATAATAATTTTTACGTCACAAAATTGCGTATTATATGAAAGAAAAAATAGTATGAAAGGTTTTACGACAATTGAATGCAGGTTGTAAAAATAAATCGAGCAGGAAAGAGAAGATCCACAATAAGTTTTTTTCTTTTTAGGGTGTTGACGTTAGTAGTAGAATGTGAATGAATGCAACGATTATAACGTCCTTCTTGTTCTGCTTACTATGCATATAACAACAATCCGAATGGTTTTTTTTTTCTTTTGAAAAATATACCAACTGGCAAGGCCAAATGAACCCTTATATAGATGATAGACTTTTCTGTTCTTTATATTTATGATTTATTATATATTTATATTGATTTTAGATGAACTCAATGATAAGAAAAAAAAAAAAAGAAACATTTGATTATTGTGTTATAAATTGGTTAAATTATGCATGTTATACCATTGTAACAGAAAATGAACTAATCTCAAATTATTTAGTTTATGCCACCTGATACGATGCTTTTTTTCTTATTGACAGATATTTCATACAAAAAAAAAAGAATGAAAAAAACATGTTTAATACTTTTTTCTTTCTTTTAGAGTAAAAAGTGAATATTTGCATCAAGTTTGTAATAATTTATTCTTATAATAACCTTGAAGATTAACCTATTTAGCTGATGCCAAATGAAAACAAAAAATTAATTCACAAAACTAATGAATACATTTACTAATATAGAAATTGATTTCTTTATAATATAAATTTCTGTTGTATTCGTGTATGTATATGCATATGTTTGTAATGCGATCACTTGCAAACAACTCTGTTATGTATAATAAAATACATCATTGAATAGTGAAGATTTTGGCTTCTGTACAGCATTACGTGATTTTGTAGTTAAAATATATTTAAGCTATCGTCAAAATGTTTTTCCTTTGATAAAGGAATAATAAGTGTTTATGTTATTACCTATCTTCAGTAATATACTTTCGAGAAATTTAAATGTATTGAAATATTGATCATATAAAAAAGTTTCTTTTTTTCAAAAGTCATCAACGGTTGTTTACATGTCACATTAACATTCCTTTGTGAATTTGGGATTTTATAAACGTTCACGGATGGTGTCCGTAACATGAGCGTATAAAGTGAACGATATATATTTTTATAAATAGAAAAAGCTGATTTGCAACTAAAATGTGTAATTTGCATGTCTTCGTTAGCTTCGTGGTATTAATATAAAACATGAGGAGTAAAAAATTTTCTAATAGATGATAACTATTTTTCAACGATAATCGATCTCTCTTATTTAACTCTTCATTTCAAACAGAACTTTATTTGCTGAATAAAATTATTACTTAATAATTAGTAGGTCACTGTTTTTTGCTCGATTAATCCTTTTTACTATTTTAATATGGCTGAGACTAGAAATACTTCAGTTGAGTTAGAAAAGGTAATTATTACTTTTATTATGTTTGTCTATTGCTTGGTTGCAATTGATGATCCGTAAGTCTTATGATCAGTAATAAAGTGATCAAAACAAAAAGTAACAAAAGTAATAAGCAAAAAAATAATATAATTCTTTTACTACTTAAGTTGCAAGGAAATGAATCCTTTTCAGTTTTTTTTACATTTCATCTGGATTTATCTATGATTGAAAGGTAGTATCAAACAGACCTAAACAATTAGGTATTTTTTTCTGACCAGCTGCAACAGCTTACATATATTCAAATACACAAATATTTCTTGTTGTTTTTATTCAAAATCCAAACATCATGTAAACTTGTATGTTTTCTAATACTAAAATGATATTCTTGAAATTACACATCTATTTAATAATTTATTTTAATCTCTTGGCAAGCGTATGCATACATTTGCTATCACAAGACTTAATACAACAAACATTTATTTTAAGTTCATTATTGAAAAGAAATATGAAGAAATCTTTTTAGTTTTCTACTAACTTTCTATGAAACTAGATGTGATTGTGTTTGTATCGGATTTTTATCTCGTTCATAAGTCTTCCAAAATTCTTGTTTGTATGATTTTGATGGTAGAAAAAAAGAGAACGAAAGTAAGCATAGATAGTATGAATGAAATAAAATATCCAATGAAAAATAACCATAGATCATTTATTGACTTCATACAACGTGAAATGAGAGAAATAATCAAACGTTGAATAGCTAAAATGACCAAAAAAATAGGAGGAATCAGTAGATGACTGTATATTTGAAATTATTTATGTAACATATTTCGACAGTTTTCATGAGGTCGAACAGCTGTTCGCTGTTGAGTAGTAATATTAATAACGGTCAAACCCGAAATCAAATTAATAATAAATTGATGGAGTCAAAAAATGAAATATATTCATAATTGTATTAAATGTTTGAAGCCTAGATGAATAAGTAACAATATACAAAATTATTTTCTCGTTATGATCATCATTATCATCATCTATCAAATGTCAATGAATATAGGATCATGAATAGTTGT